CAAAGCCAAAAGATTGTAATTCAGTAGAAAGATTAGAGAGAGCGAAAGCACCAATTATAACCGAAAAGAATACATTAACGACCTTAAAAATTGATAAAATTAATTAAGAAATTATTAAATTAATTGCACAAAAATAACTTAAATAAATAAATAAATAAATAAATATATATATACCTGCCCGGAAGTCAATTCATGACTAATAATCAGCGTAGAACCAAACCAAAAAGCCAAAGAGTAAGTTGCATAGATGCCAAAGGAAGTTAAACCAATAGTGGCAGCAACTAACAAAGCTTTCTTATCGCCTTCTTTTTTTGCATCAATTAAATAATTATCATAAATAGTAGAAAGTTTCTTTTGGGAACCAAAAGCCACTGCAGTTCTGATCGTTGAGACGGCTTCTTCAGCAATTATTCCAGCACGAGAATAATAATTTAAACCTCTTTTTGTAAAAATTGCACTAAATTTATTTTGTACACCACTAATAATGGAAATAAAAGGGATAAAGCTGCATATCACAAGGGTCATTTTCCAACTTGTAGTAAATGCTATGACGAATGCTGAAATGAATTGAGCGATATACTAGAAAAGCGAACATTAAAACAATATGATAGCGTAATTAATAAAAATATAAAATAAAAATAAGAAATAAAATAAATTGAGCAGTATGGAACTTACTTGAAGAGAGAGTGAAGCTTTTTCACTGATACCGTCTTGTATCAGATGTGTATCAGAAATTATACGAGTAGTGATTTCACCAGCTCCATACTTATCAAAATAAGCAATGTTTTGTCTAAGAATTGCACGAAGATAATGTTCACGAATTTGGCGTGCAATTCTGAAAATAATCGAAATCACGTGACGTGTCAATAACTTTAAAATTATTGAAATAACTTGACACAAAATTACATAAAGAATTACCTTTCACCAGTATATACCCAAGTAGAAATAGAAAGATAAGTAGCAAAGAAAATGGAAATTGCAAGGTATACGAAAATTAATGAAAAATAATTTATTTGATCTGAAAATTCATCGGTGCTTATCGTGTGAAGTTGATAACGAGTAAAAAAATCGATCATTTTCCCAAATATAACTGTTGTTAGAGGCTGTAAATTTTAAATATAATATCAGAAATTAAGAAAATTTGCAAAAAAAAACGCGTAAAAAAAGGAATTATTAATGCATATACCATAGCAACGCCTCCACCCGCTGAAAATAATAATCCAATAAACATAATGAACCAATCAAATTTTGTAGCATAGCGATATAAAGTTAAATAAGATTCTTTTTTTTCATTAACCCAAATTTGTTCATTTAAAACCTTTTCCTCCTGTGGATTAAGCATTACGCCGGATGTTTCTTCAATGGGTACTACCGTGCTTCCTTCCGAACTTCCAAAGTCATTTGTTATGTTCTCAGTCATCTTTAAAAATTATTACGAAGAAAATTATTATTATTTTATTGAGAATTACTTTTATTTTTTTTAAAAAGATATTGAGATCTTTTATTTTCAAGGTATCGATGGTACTGACGAATATTTATAAAAAAATTCGATTATCTAGGACGGATATACATTTTGCCAGTCATGCGTAATAAAACTTAACAAATTAAAGATCTCCAATTCAGGTCACCTAGTCATTTAAAGTAACAAATAATTGAAATTACTGTATTATATTACCATATATGTTACATAGAGTACTGGCATGATGCATACATGTTACTGGACACATGGAGTTTTATAATTCCATTTGGGCAAGCTTCGCTCCGTTAAGATTTTCAGGAAATTTATAATTCCATTTGTATCGAGTGTATTTGTGTTTTTTTTTTTGAAAAAAGGAGACAATTCGGGAATATTAATTATCCTTTTAAACAAAGATTGTTTATTCTATTTCTATAAATATAAAAAATATATGTCAAGTCAAAACTTTCCGCCGCAGGGAACCGAGAAAATCATTTGTAAATGATTTACACAACGTCGTCCAGGACCGTTAGACACGTGACATAAAATAGGTCATTTTATCATGATCTATATAACGTCAGAGTCAAGTTAATAATAAGATTGTTACATTTCTATTGTTACGACTGCTCAGAACCCAAGTTTCGTTAGGATTAGGTTTTGTTATAGGGTTAAAGGTAAGGGTTAGTATTAGAGGTTAAAATTTAGATAAATATAAGGTTTACCCAGTATTAATTGCTTAGCTAGCTTTTGAGATATAACGATTGTGGTGTTGAATACAACTAGAGTGAATTAGTAAAACCGTAAATAATTTTGAATAACACAAGTCGAATGAAGGTAAATCGAGCCCCAACCGGCATCACATTATCCCGATATGACGATATGAACCTGATTTGAAACAAATATTTGACGCAAATGAAAGACCTTTAAGATACAAATTGAATTAATATAGCTATCATTTACCAATAGAGCTATCGGCATTCCGATATTCATTGAGCATCTATATGAAACTGTTTTGTACGTATCATAAAGGCTCAAATCAGGTTCATATCGGATAACGTGATGCCGATTCGCGACCTGTGTAATTAATTACGGATATTCATAATTATTATATTACGAATATTCGTAATTGTTATGAATACATTTTAGAGATAAGGGGCTCGGGGCTACTACGTCAGCCTCGCACAAACAAACCATAACAATATCTCTTATGCCGTTTGGCAGGTAAATTTGCGCCTGCCGATCAAAATTTTTCAGCCGATAAAATTTATCGGCTTAGTCGAAAAATTTTGGGTTAATCTGTGTACGGCATATAGGATAATATTATAACCCTATTTTAAATAATCATTTTTTTGCTGTTTATGTGTATATATTATTATTAACATGACAATTAAAAAGTACTGATTATTATTTTTTGAATCCGGACCAAAATGTTATTACGTCATATATAAAATTGATAGTTTTTCTTCTATAGTCTTATTAAGTGAAAGTATTTTATTTATTCATTTCCAGAATTCTTTCTGCCAAAAAACAAAATAATTTAAATTATTAACGAATATAAAATTTTTGTTCGGTACTTTATTCTCAAGAGAATAAAATTTTGCCGAGACCTACGTTCATAGCAGAAACTTGAATTTTTGCCATTTTATCATATGATAGTTATATAACTATTATATGATAAAAATATTTTAATAAAAAAATATACTTTGCTAAAATCTTGCATTTTTGCGAATGCATCAAAATATTCTAGATTTAGTGTCATTTAATAATTTTAAAA